GGGGGCGGGGCGCGGGTCTCGGACTTGGCTGACTTTGGGCAGGGGCGGAGGCACAGCCCAGGTTCCCTCTTCCTGAAGCCCGGCAGGTGTGTCCTCTCCACTAGCCAACCTCGGACCTGGAAACAATAACTGTGTTCCAAATAATAGCAATAACAGTGCTACTATGTGCCAGGTACTTGGAGCACTCACATATTTAATTGCCTAACTGTCTTGTGTGCCGGGCATTATTGATATTGTTCTTCTGTAGGCGAAGGAAACTGAGGCACAGAGGTTAAATATCTTGCATAAAGTTACCCCAAGGAATAAATGCAGTCCTGGGATTTGAATCCTAAGGCACAAAATACTAGCCTGTTCCTGTTCAGCCTCTAGTAATAACAATGCTGTATTTGATCTATTTTAAAATACGCCTTTTGTTTCTCATATCTGAAATAAGTATGTGATTTCAGTTCCAGCTGATGAAGGTCACAGTTTAACTGGCAACAATTTTTCCACCCCTGGGGAGTGAACCCAGGACCCTAAGGAACAGAAAGCACCTGATCTACCACTGAGCCCAATTGGCAACACTTTTAGTTTCTTGGTATATATATGTATCAATTTCCATGACAAAGGTTTACACGGACTCTGAACCTCAAATTTATGAATTCATGACATCTCACAGCAACTCTGTAAAGTAGGACAGAAGTTAATCCCTGTAGTGAGAACAGAGATCAAGTCACTCCCCCTTTCCCTAAAACTGTCATGGGTAATAAAAGTGCAGCCGGGATTTGAACCCAGGCAGTCTGCTTCCTGTGTCTTACAGTCTTCTAGGGAATGAATAGTAAGTCTTGCAAGCCCATCTCTGATGTGTGCTGATATTAAGCATATTAACTAGACTCTGCCTGAGCTGGTTTGGATGGATGAGGGAGGAAAGAGCAGAGGCAGACTTAATGAGTGACCTTTACCCACTTCTGGGGGGTAGCCCTGCACACAGGAGACCAGGCTGGACAGATGGCTGGTTACTAACCTTGTGAAGCACTGGGTAAAGCACAGGGTGGGGGGCGGGGACTGCCTCATCTCAATCAACCCAGCCACTCTGAGGCAGAGTCAGTTTTATTATCACCATTTTGCAGAAGAAACTGAGGATGGGCATTTAATATACACATTGCTGTAGAGTTTTGGATGGCGGCTACGAGTGAAGGAGGCTGAGTGTGCAGAAGTGAAGGAAAGATTACACAGGAACAGAGCGATACAGCTCTGTCCTTTGTCTCCAGAAGATTCCAGGCAAGTTGGGAGGACCAGCAAGCACTGTCTGGAAGAAAGCAAATGACTCAACCAGGAAGAGAATGAGACCAAAGGGAGGCTGGACCACAGAGCCTCCCACTCCTGTCTGAGTTCATCTGCGGTTTCAGCTTGAAGCCACAGCACCAATTGTCGAAAGTGATTTGAAATGTAGTGTTTTTTAAGTTCTCCAAGTTTGCTTGTTTGTTCGGAACCCTTATACATTAAGCCTGCATATTATTAGGGAGCAGGAAGTATCTGTTCATCCCCACCTCCTCTCTTCTGAGCCTTTATGAAAGGAATCAGAAAGGGTTTACTGAACTTTTACACCTTATCAGCACTCTGCAAAAGGTACACAACAGAATTGACAGCCAGCCTTTGCCTGGACATAATCCACATGGGGGTGGGAACAGGTAGGGAGCCCAAGAAACAATAATTGGGAAACGGTGCTACAGTCTGGCTGGGCACAAATAACTGAGCCACCACGAAGCACTTGTAGGTTCAAACAGCAACTCTTTATTGCCCGAACTCCACCAGCACTCCACACACGCTCCCAGGGAACCCTCTCCCCTCCACCAGGCTCCACTCGCACTTTCTGGGAACCCCACAGGAACTCAACAGGAACTCCAAAGTAGCAGGCGGGCGCCCCATTGCCGGACAGTAAAGGTCTATATACAATTGAATACACAGCTTAACATAACCATCATCATCCCAGAGGCTCACTGGTGTCACCTCTCAACCACTCCCTTCTGGCAAAATGCCATGCGTCATCCCCATTCAGCTATGGCCCTCAACAAACCGTATCAGGAGACATAGAGCTTGGGTGCTGGACAGATGCGGAGGGCTGAGGGGTTCCCCAATAGCTCCCTGGGGAGCTGGTTTCCAGCCTGGGGAGAAGGAGTCTCACTGGAAAGAAGGCACTAGAAAGAGACTCGCAAGTCTAAGAAAAGGCCCCCATGTACAGTCCAGTCTCTGGGATGCCTCCCATCTTTAGCACCTCCCCAGATGGTCCAGTTCGGTCAGTTCCATGAAGTGAACAGGAGGGAGTTCTATGTGCATTCCTAAAACTAAAAGAAATGCAAAGGTAATGAAGCCATTCAAATAAGGGTAATTTAAGCTGGTGTGGTGGCACACCCTGTAGTCCCAGCTCCTTGGAAGGCTGAGGCAGAAGGACGGCAAGGGAAAGGCCAGCCTGGGCAACATGAGACCCTGCTCTAAATAAAAGATTAATAAAGTTCATTTTAAAAAATAGTTATTTATTTATTTATTTGGGTGTAGATGGACACAACACAATGCCTTTATTTTTTATCTGGTACTGAGAATCGAACCCGGGTCCCCCTCCTGCTAGGCTAGTGCTCTACTGCTGAGCCTCAGTCCCAGCCCCTAAAGTTCATTTTTTAAAAATATTTATTTGTATATGGTGCTGAGACTCGAACCAGTGCCTTATGCATGCTAGGCAAGTGCGCTGCCACTGAACCACAACCCCAGCCCCATAAAGTTCATATTTAAACATCTTTTTTTAAATAAAAGTAACTTTATTAAGTATGATTTATTAAAAATTCCCTTGTGTTCTCAGGTCCTTCCCAAATTAGAAGCTGCCCCTCCAGTTGGTCTAGGTCTAACTTAACATTTTTCTAAAATTTATTTACCTTGAAATAATTTAAAATATAGAGCTGCAAAAATACTTCAAAGAACTCCTATGTATCCTTCATCCAGATTCACCAACTGATTATATTTGATCACATTTGCTTTTTCTTTCTCATTCTCTCTCTAGACATACAAGATTCTCTATATATTTACTTATTTATTTGAGGGTTAGTGGCAGGTCTCATTCTTCTTTACCCTTAAATACTTCAACTTGCATTTCCTAAGGACAGACATTCTCTTAAATAATCTTAGGACAGTTATCAAATTCAGGAGTTATAACATTAATTCAATTTTGTGTGTGGAGGGGGGACACTAGAGATCAAACACAGGCACTTCACCACTGAGCTACATCCCCAGTCCTTTTTATTATTTATTGTTTTTTGTTTTTGACACAGGATCTCTAAATTGCTAAAGCTGGCCTCAAACTCTAATCTTCCAGCCTCAGCCTCAAAGTCACTGGGATAACAGATGTGTGCCATAGCTCCTGGCATTAAGACCATTTTTCTGATAGACAATGATTTTCATATTCTGTTACTCTCTTTCCTCAAAAAAAAAAAAAAAAAAAAGTGTCCTTTGAGGAATTTCTCTCTGTTATTCTCACAATCTAAGAACCATTGTGACCATTCATTGTGACTCTTTTTTTAAATTTTTTTTTAATGATTTTTTTTTAATATTTTATTTTTTAGTTATCAGCAGACACAACATCTTTGTTTGTATGTGGTGCGGGCCGCACGCATGCCAGGCGAGCGCGCTACTGCTTGAGCCACATCCCCAGCCCATTGTGACTCTTTTAGTTTGGTGCAGTTTCTCTGTCTTTTGTGACCTTGCTTTTTGTTTTGTTTGCAGCACTGGGGATGGAATCCAGGGGTGCTCTACTGTGAGCTACATTGCCAGCCCTTTTTATTTAGTTTTATTTGTTCTTATTAGCTATACATTGTAATAGAATGTATTTTGATGTATTATACACTTATGGAGTATAACTTCCCGTTTTTCTGGTTGATGTAGAATTACATTGGTTGAGTACTCATATATGTAGGTAGGAATGTAATGTCCAGTTCATTCTACTGTCTCTTCTATTCCCGTTCCCCCTCCCTTCTCTTCATTCCCCTTTGCCTAATCCAAAGAGTATTTCTATTCTTCCCCCCACCCTCTGCTTATTGTGAGTTAGCATCTGCATATCAGAGAGAACATTTGGCCTTTGAGCAAATGTCATAATTTCATTTCTCTTTATGGCTGAGTAGTAGTCCATTGTATATATATACACTATATTTTCTTTAACCATTTATCTGTTGAAGGGCATCTAGGCTGTTTTTATAGTTTAGCTATTGTGAATTGAGCTGCTGTAAACATCGATATGGCCCAGCCGCTTTTAAATTTTGAGACAGAGTCTTGCAAAGGTGCTGAGGCTGGATTGAAATTTGAAATCCTCCTAACTCAGCCTCCCAAATTACTGGAATTGAAGATTACAGGCATGTGCATCTCACACAACGTTTTGTTGTTCTTGTTGTTGTTGTTTTGTTTGTTTGTTTTTTAAGGCAGAGTCTTGCTGTGCTGCTCAGCAGGCTGGCCTGGAACTCCTGGGCTCAAATAATTTTCCTGCTTCAGGCTTTCAAGGATCTGGGACTACAGATATACATCACTGCTCCCAGCTACCTTTTTATTTTTAACTATTTCAGCTATATGAAAAAAAATGAAGCAATAAACAAACATTAGCATAGTTACTACTTCTATGTAACAGTGGTTAAGATTTTACAATATATATTTTTTTTATCTATGTAGCTA